ACTGCCCTGTTCCCTCTTATATGTGAAGGGGCTGGTCTGTGACCCTCAGCCTGTCCCAGATGATTAAACTCGAACAGTGGCCAGAATGTTAGGTCTCTGTTGATTCAGAGGAGGCAGCATAGAGAATGGAGGAGGCACCCAAGCTTCAGAGTCAAGTCTGGGCCCAAGTCCTGGCTTTGTCCTTTCTTAGCCGGTCATCTGGGCAGTTTGACCTACTTGAGCCTTAGTTTTCTCATCAACAAAATGGGTATAACAGTTCTTGCCTGACAGGCTTGCAGTGGATTGCCTGTTACAGTGCCTGGCACATATAGAAAGTACTCAGTAAATGGTAGCTATGAGCTCTAATTTGTCTTAGTGTCTGGGTCTTCTTCATGCAGGGTAGGAGGTACAAGATGGTAGAGAAAGAGGGATTCTGGAGCTGCCCCACCTGGCAGGTGAGTGTCCTTCTACTCTCCAACTTGAAAGTGCTGCGGATGAGTGCAGTGTGTTGGGATGCATGGCATTTCTGGAAACTTCTCAGTAAGAACGTGTGACGGGGGTGCCTGGGTGGCTCAGTCGGTTAAGCGTCTGCCTTGGCTTCAGGTCATGATCCTGGGGACCTGGGATCGAGCTCCACGTGGGGCTCCCTGCTCAGCAAGGAGTCTGCTTCTCCCTCTCCCTCTACCCTTTCCCCCGCTCTTGTTCTCTCTCTCTCTCAAATAAATAAATAAAATATTAAAAAAAAAAAAAGAACATGTGACAGACGGAACCTATTGGGGGTGGTGAGAACTGAACCAAGCCGGTTGTACTCACACCCAGTAGCATCAAAGCCTGGCCCAGGACAAGACTGCTTCTTTCCAGGTACTACTATACGTTTACTATTAAAAACCATTGCTATTGTTCCTTCTGAGTAGTCAGAAGAACAGCAGTAGCCGCTGCCTACCGAATGCCTACTATGTGCCAAGGGGGTTTCCATTCATCATTTCATTTAATTAACGCCATAACATTTCGAGGTGGGTGTTTTTATTCCCTTTGTGGGAAGAGAAAACTGAAGCTCACTGAGATTGAATAAGTTACCTGAAGTCACATAGCTAGAAAGTTAACAGAGCTGAGATTTGCCCTTTTTCTTGAGAGAGAGAGAGGGAGAGAACGAGAGCAGGGTGGGGGGCAGAGGAAGAGGGAGAGGGAGAATCTTAAGCAGGCTCCACGCCCAGCACAGAGCCCAACACGGGGCTTGATCTCACAACCCTGAGATGGTGATCTGAGCCAAAATCAGAGTCAGATGCTTAACTGACTAAGGACCCAGGCGCCCCGACAGAGCTGAGATTTGAATCACACGGTTTCTTTTACTCTTGAGCCCATGTAGTTAAGCACTGATGCATGCCCACCTTTGAGGTAGTGTGACCATGATGTAGATAAGGAAGCTGAGGTTCAGAGAAGTGAAATAACTCAGCAGAAACAGATAGATGGCTGGAAAATGGGAGAGCCCGACATTGTCCTTGGGATGGTCTAATTCTGACGTGTACATGTTCTCCATTAGACTAGACTCCCTGTCAAGGAAGGTCACTGGACCCATTTTACAGATGGGGAAGCTGAGGAGCCCAGAGAAAAAGCAAAGGCTCATGGAAGGAGACTTGGCAGGGGAGGGGAAGTCTCTGAGTGTGATGGGGCCCTGGCAGAGGTATCCCTAAGCAGGATCAGGCTAGGTCCCCAGTGCAGTTCTCTCCCTAGACATTTGCAGGGCAGATTAGAAGGAAATGACTGTCAGAAGCAGAAGTGAAGGCAGAAAGCCCGAGAGAGTGTGGGAGGCCCAGAGAACCCCATGACACTTTGCTCCTGCTGTTGAGGGTATGGCATATGCTGCTGCTTTTGTAATACCACTTGCAAGTGCCATCTCATGATTTCTTCCTTGTCACCTTCCCGTGTCACTACCCAGCTGTGAGTCCCTGCGGAAGTGGACAGGGCCGAGGGCCGTGGGACCAGCCTCCCCAGTTCACAGTGCCCAGTGATAGAAGCCTTGCTTCTGCTCCTGCAGAATCGTCTGCAGGGCCAGGGGTGGGCTGGGACCAGACTGGATGGTGGGGAGCAGAGCAGGGATCTGCCTCTTCTGCCCAGATGTGGAGGAAGCTCCCCCAATCCTGGAGGAGAGGAGAAAAAACTGGCAAAATGAGGGGAAAAAAGGAAACTAGAGTAAAAGACACCGAGCCTCCCAGAGACTTAGCAGCTAAGGTGGGGCAATGGCCACGCTCAGGGGACCAGGAAATCACACTGAACTAGAGACAAGGTTTGAGGTGACCTATTAATCTGCCCCTACAGAATCCTTCATGCCCACCTCCCCTGTGGTTTAGAGGGTGAGCCAGAGCCCTCCTCCCTAGGGACCCAGAGAAGCTCACGCGAGCTTCTATATGTGCCAGGCACTGTAACAGGCAAAGCAAGGCACAATGCAATCTCCCTTCCCTGCCCTGGGGAGGAGGGCTTCTCAGCTCTCTCCCTGTGTCCCCATGTAGATCAGGCACCATCTGGCAACCTCCAATTCTTCTTCTTCTTCTTCTTTTTTTTAACTACTCTCTTGTTTGGGGCAGAAAGGATGGCAAGTTTGCACTTGTCCCCCAGCCCTATACATAATTGGTGGCAGCAGGCAAAGCAGCTTCAAGGGGAGGGGTTTGCCAATGGAATGAAGGAGGGAGGGAGTCCTAGAGTGACAGAGCTGGAAACGACCTGGGAGATCACTTGACCCAAACTTTTGTGGCCTCCACACCATTCCTGTGATCTGTGTGCTTCCATCCCTACCATCATCTCTCATGCCAAGCAGGAGTTCTCAAGACCTCCTCCCCTAGGCTTCCTAAGGGCACTGCCTCCTGCCTCCTTTCCATCAAGGAGCTAATCCACCCTCTTGTTTTCTAGATAACACTGAGGCTCATTGAGATGTGATTTCCCCAAAGGCAATCTTCATCCCAGGATAGAGCCAGGACAAAACCCCAAATGCTTGAGACTCTTTCCGTCCTCCTACTCTTCTATTCAATCCCTAGGGAAGGAAGGGCTCAATTCTTCTCCCTGGGGGCTCGGGAGACCTCTGACATATCACACCTGTCACCTAGCTGATGTGGGCTGCCAGTGTCAAGGTTGTCTAAGAACGGAGTTATTTTCAGGATGATTCTGGTCATTTCCCTTCCTCCCGAGTATCCTGAGGGCTTTGTGAGGTTAGCCTGGGTTCCACTTGCCTCTTCCCTGAAAAAAATTGGTTCTGAAGCGTAAGTAACTGCCTGGAACCTGGCGTGGTCTCAGGCTGACTGAGCTCCACACTCCAAGAAAGCCCTCACCGCCTTTTCAAGGGGTCTTTCCCTAGGATGAAAGGAGAGAAGACGCTGAACTCTAAATCCACGCAGGAGGCAGTGTCCATGGTTCAGAGACACTGCTCTTTGTATACTTCTTGCCCTTATTTTTTGCAAATATCATTTATCTTTCCTCTGCTGCCAGCAGTTGGAGATAAGAAGAGCTCAGAATGGACTGGTTGGGACCACATCTTGAAGCTGTGAGGGCAGGTTTGGAGAAGCGTGCTGTGCAGATCTTTGTGTCTGTATTTACACGCATAGGCATATTCCTATGGGTTAGCTTTTGCCCCTGTGCTGAGTGCTTGAGAGTGTTTTATATGTGAGCCCACCTCTATATGGGTAGGGTGACTCAGTGGGCTACCTCCAAGGCCTTAACTGCAAGGGAGCCTACCCTGGAGCTGGCAGTTTGATATGGGGGAAGGCTACCTTCTTCTTGGTCCTCAATTAAAGTGGACTCAGCACTAAGAAGGAGCACTGAGACGGGGGGAGGGGGGG